GCTGTCCATATTTTATCTTGAGGAAATATTTGCATGAAGAAAAGGCATCTCAGGTGGGCGTGCTGATGGATGGGAAGAACAGATTCTGTCTTTCCTAATAGCATAAGGGCATGAGAGCTAGTGTAGGTCTTGAGTTTGATCTCCAGAAACCACATTTAAAAAGCCAGGCCTGTGGTATGTGCTTGTCCTAGCTGGAGAGGGGAGGGAAGCAGATCCCTCTCCTCACTGTAACTAACCTGGCCGACCAGCTAAGCTTCAGGCCAGTGAGAGACCCTGTTTGTGTCAGATGAAAAACATGGATAACATGTGAGGAACGACACCCAAGAGCTTCCCCTAATCTCTGTATGCACATGCATACATGTGCGCACATAGATACATGAACATAAACACCTATTGTACACACCATTACACACAATAAACAAAAATAGAATAATACTGCTAACAGGTAGTGGCTGAATAGTTGGGCTCTGGGCTAATATCTGTTTGGGCCCTATATTTGACCATTATTATTCTGTTCTATAGACAGGACGTACAGGCTTACAGATATTGTGTGTCATTTCCCCATAGTCACACAGAAGAAAGATGGCTGAGCCAGAGCATGAACTTGGGATCTCCAACTCCAGAGTCATCCTATTAGTTGTTCTTCCTTAAGGGATAAACTGCAAATTTACATGAGATTTTATTTGTAGGAGCGAGATGACAGAAAGGGACCCCAGGGTCTGGGGACCATCTATCTCTCTTGTACAAGGAAGTCATTCTTTTCCAACAAAGAGAAAGATGTCTTTTCTTTTTCTTTCTTTCTTTCTTTTTTTTTTTTTTGTTGTTGTTGTTGTTGTTCTTTTCAATGCAATTTCTCTCCTGTAAGTTTATGACACCCATGGGTTCCAACATTGGCATCAGATTGAAGCAGGGGCTCATGCATGTTTTTTTGAAGAGCAAAAACTATTTTTTTTTCTACACATTAGATGCAGGGTGAGTGCTGTAGTTAATAATTACGGTATGTGATATAAAATCTTTACATTTGTCTAGACAACTGTGTTTCCTTTGTTTTTTCTTCTTGTTTTGTTTCCAGCTTGGTGAATTTCAGCCATCACTATTTGATTAAAGCCCACTGATTTTTGTAACACCTGCTAAAAGATTGGGGATCTACCAGCACCCGTCAACCAGCAGGGCTCAAAACTTTCCATAGTAGTCCCAAGCCTGTTAGTCCCCCTACACAGGAAGGAATGTGGCAGATTGGAGCCTCCAATAAATATTTGTTAAATGAGACAGGCACTGAATTTTGCAAATATGCACTGTAATAGAAAAGGTGCTGAGGACTTCTAGGGAAGAGAGAGAGTTCTGGATTTAGTCATATGTTGCTTTTTCTCCACACATGACAGGCTGGCCAGCTACTTACTGACTATCTGGAGGAATTCTGTGTCCACCAGTCGTAGCGGTTTTAATAGGTTTAAAAAAAAAAATCTTAACACCACAAGCCTGTGTTTCTCTCTCCACCTTGACGAAGGAATATTGTCTTCCTTTCCCCTAACCCTATATTCCTTTCTATTATTAATTTTGTCAGTTGTCGTTTTATACAAGTGTAGAATGCATTCTAATTCTCTGCCCTAGAATCTTCCTCTCCATCCCTATCCAAGCTACTCCCTCATCCCTATCACTCCCTCTCCCACGTTCATACTTTTGATTGTGTTTTATAACTCGTTTAGCTTAATCAAGGCCTTCCATGTGACCACTGAATTGGAGCTATCTGGTAGAGCCCAGTGGAGTAGGCAATGGGCACACAATGAAGGCCACACTTCCCCCCTCTCTGAATCCATCAGTAGCAAATAGCTCAGCAGTGGGAGTTAGGCCTCTTTCCCATTTGGCCCTCCCCCCCATGCCTGATGATAGGCATGTTTTTGGTGTAGATCCACCCATGGCTGTGGCGAGTACATGGTTGTAATGACAGTGGTTTACCCCAGAGACATTTCTTAGCTTCTCCCTGTCTTTCAGTTCTTACATTCATTTCATCCCATCTCCCGAAGTGCCCCTGAGCCTTAGAGAGGATGCTATAAATGTCTTGTTTAGGGCTGAGCTCTCAAGGATCATTTTGGTCATTTATTCTTAGCACCTTGTACAGCCCTGAAGTCTCTGTATTCATCTTACCTAATGGACAGAAAGGCCTCTCTGTTTAAGTGTGAGAGTAAAATTGCCTGTAGGTATAGACATAGATAGTTAGAGGGCAGTTCGACTTTGTGCCAGAGCTAATTTCAGCTAGAGGCAGGACACAAACTTGGCATGTAAGACATCAGTAGGCTTTCTCTCTACCAATGACAAACACACTGAGAAAGAAATCAGGGGAAACACTTCTATACATGATAGCTTTTTAAAAATTACCCCCCAGGAAATCTAACTAAAGGGGCGAAGGACCTCTACTATGAAAAACTTTAAAACTCCCAAGAAAAAAATTAAGGAAGATGCTAGAAGATGGAAGGACTTCCCATGCTTGTGGATTAATTAATATTGTCAAACCACTTTTGGTGAGATGGCCGTTTGACAATATTAATTAATTTTTTAAAAGCTATCTCAATTAAAATCTCCATGCCATTCTTCAAGTGAAACACACACACACACACACACACACACACACACACACACACACACACAGAGTATTTTTCTTATTATAAGTTAGGGAAAGTTCAGCATCCCCAGGGCATAGAAGGCATGGAGAGAAGAGAGAAGTGACTTTCCAGCCCACATGAAAAATGGGAAGCTGTATTTTGGTGGCTTCTCATCCCCAGCTGCAGGAATACCTGGGTGAGACCCTGTTCCCTCAGCGAGTTCAAGTTGCTGTCACAAGGGCTATAAAGGGACACTTGGGCCTGGGTTCTCATATCTCTAGCCAGACTTCGCGAGTATTTTTAGGGCTCCCTTTGTCTCAATCTGATTTGTGCTTGAAACTTTTACCACATGTAGCCTATGTTGAAATGACTTTTAAACTACTCTCTGGGTAGAGGTGGAGGGGTTGGATCACAACTGCAGCCTTTAAATGTTTTTTTTCCCTTTCTTTCTGAATTTTTTTAATTGCTAAATATCCAACAGGCTGAACAGAGGAAACTCAAGTCTAACCCTGGAGGGACCCCTGTTTAGTCATCTGTCTAGACAGATGAGTGTCTGTAACGGGACTCTTGTTTCTTTTGCTGTGTGGAACAGAAGGTGGCCCTTCAACTTTGAAGATGCTGACCCCCAACCTGCTGTCAATTCACCCACCCACCCACGGACCAACAATAACCTAGCATGTGACAATTAAGTTATGAATGGGTAGCAAGAAAATACAGGCTTTACATAGAGAAGGCCAGGTTACAATCTAACAAGGCTGCTTTCAGAACCTCACTTTAATTTTCTCTAAAATGAAGATTTTTTTTAAACCTTACTTTTTAATGACTTTTAAAGAACAAAATGATCTAACACACAAAAATGCTTCGTGCCTCATAAGGGCTGAAGAAAATTACCCCCCCCCCTTTTTTTTATTTGTTTCCTGGCCACTATTAAAGCTCTTAACTTGTTTTTCTATTGTGAGAATTCAAAAGAAAAAGTAGGTGGCACAGCTCATGGTTTTAGCATCAATTAACAAAAAAATAAAAAATAAAAAAGGACTGGCTGATGTCATTGATGTCATCTCAAAGTATAGAAAAAGAAAAGTTGAAGAGGTCCAAGTTTCTGTGAGAGGGGAAGAATGTAGCAGACACTGTTTATAAATATGAGGTACCTAAAGACAGTCAAATTCATAGATTCCAAGAGAAATGGTGGCTGCCAGGGCCAGGGCCTGGCTTGGTAGGTAGAGAGCATCTAAGCATGGGGTCTTTAGACTTTCAGTTAAGCTGGAAGAGTGAGCTCTTAAACTTCTCCATACATAGTGTGGTATCTAGTTAACAATAGGACCATGTCCAGTTAAAAGTGTGCCAGTTGAGAGCATACCAAATGAGGCATTCTTCCCATCTCCTGGCTTCCTCAGAAAATTGCTCAAGGCCAATCTTCTCAAAGTAGATGGCCCATGCTTTTAAAGTGGTGTGTGTGTGTGTGTGTGTGTGTGTGCATGTGTGTGTGTGTGTGTGTGTATGTGCATGTGTGTGGTTTCCATGCATATGCTCTGGAGACATGTAGAGAGGCCAGTGGAGGACACTGGGTGTTTTGTTCTGTCACCCATTACCTTATTCCCTGAGATAGCATCTTTCACTGAGCGGGAAACCCAGTCTCCTGTCTCCACTTCCCTGTGGCACTGGGGCTACAGTCATCTTAGTCGTACCCAGCTCTGTTCTTCATGTGAGTACCAGGGACTGAACTCAGGTCCAGAAGCCTGTAAACAATGGCTCTCACTTCCCGAGCCATCTCCTCCCTGTCTACACTAACTGTCTCACTCCTTGAACTCCTCATTTTAAGTTCTGTATGGATTGTCCCGGAAAATCTCAACCTGGGAAGGTTTATCTCATTTATTCAGTGCATTTTCACAGTGCTGTGGGAAGACCACTTGCTTGGAAGGGGAACACGGGCCTCCAGCAGAAAGGTACAAAGTCCCCACCTCCTGGGCTAAAGCACAGGGGTCCCCAGTCCTATTGACAAGACAGTGGCAAGGCCCCTCTCCAATGCTTTGCTTCAGATCATTTGTGCTGTCACTGCTGCTGTTGTTATCGTTCTTGTTAGGATGTGGCATTTATTACTGAATATGACTTGGTATGGTGAATGAGAGCCCAGTGAAGCCCGAAGGGGTGCAAGGCCCACCACTCGTCCAAGGACGAGCTGGGGGTCCTGACACTTGGTGAAGCCTCACTTCTTTGAGGTGTTGATCTTTCTGCAGTCAGGGAACTTGAACTTGACTTAATGTGGGGTTTTAATTGCATGTTCCTTATTCTGCAGCTTGGGGCTGCGGATGGACAGGATTAACCGGCCAGCGTGAATCCTGTGAACCCTGGGGCTTCCCTAAGGCACCCTGCTTACCTCACATGCTTGCCATATCCACCAAAAAGTGTCTCCAAGGTCCCTTAGAGCAATTCGTACAGGTAATAGGTGGTACACACTCCTGAGGAGGCTGCTGTGACTGTCCATTGCACACCAGCACCCTGTGAGGGAATGACTGATTGGCTTAACCGACTGCAGAATTTGCATTCTTTCTGATATCACAGTCTCATTCCCCTGCCTTCAAGTAGCTCATACATAATCCTTTTTGTGGAGATAGACTAGTAAAAGAACTATTGTATTAAACACAATTTTTGGGTTTTTTGTTTGTTTTAATAAGTGGATTTGTAGGCACAGCACAGTGTGAGTATACATGAACGATGGCTGGCAGATACAACCAACTTGTAAGAGAAACCATCCTGAACATTCAGAGAGCCCAGTGTTATCTGTGCAGAGATCAGTCACAGTTTCTGCCAGCTCATGCGCAGTCAGAGGAGAGAAGTAGATATCCATGACATTAGTAAACCTCTTCCCACCCCACACCTTGGCTCACGACATCCACAGCCGCTGAATCGCACTAGAACCCAGGGCGGTGCATGGCTGGGGGCATGGTGCCTTTTAGTCATGTCTCTTTCAATACAACAGCCATCAATAAAAAGCTCCAGTAAAATGCGGTTAACCACAAGGGCATCCCTCCCCACCCCTCGCCCCAGTGTCAGTGCTGTGATCCATTCAGTCCTGTGCTCTTCACTCCAATATACTTCAAGGAAAGAATGAAAGTTCTACTCTTTTCTGGACCCTGCTTCTCTGCCTGGGAGCTCTGGGACCTGCCCAGTTATGTGGGTGGCTGTGGCTGGGAAAAGCTCTGCCCGGATCTTGGGATAACAGGGTGGAGAGATGTAGTCTGCAGTCCCTGAAAGTGTCACTGACTGAATTAAATGCGGCTCCTCTCTCACTGGTACTGCCCTACCCTTTCCTCGTGGCATTGTTAAAATAAGTGCTGACTAAGGCATCCGCTGGTCGCCACCTGCTCTGTTTTCATTCATGAAGAATCTGTTTGGTTATGTTATCATTTCCTTACCTGTTCAGGGATCAGTTGTGATTACCTGGGGAGGAATGGGTGAGGCAGAAGGGAAGGCAAAGTAAGGAGAGCCATGGAAAGAACTTAACCTGTTTCTGTATTGTGCGTGTTGTTGCCATCCTCCTGGGAAGTCCTTTCCCAGACAGTCTAGAAAGACATCTGCTGGCAGTCCAGTTGTCACCCAGCATTCATTGATGTGTGACCTCCTGCCACCCACAGGGGACAGCTGGCTGCACTGGCACCTGGCATTTAAAAGCAGAGAAGGGATACAGTGTTCTGCAGCCTTGCGAGATGGGTCCTCCGCCCTTCCTTCCTCCTAAAGCCCACTGTCAGTGTTCCTAACTCTTCCTCAAAGGCTTGTACTGTAAGCTTCTGGGGTGAGTATCCAGAAGGCAAGTGGGGATTCATGGAAAGGTCCCCCTTTTCTGTGTGTGTGTGTGTAGTCCAGGTACTCCTGTCATCTAAGCTGGGAAGCTGAATGTTCACAAACTGTGCTACAATAGTGTTTACACCTTCCTTTATGTGCATTTAACTCATCTGGTAACATCCGACTGCATTGAAAAATTTTCACGTGTGGAAACTGTTACCCTTTGCTGAGAACTGGCTGCACTGCTTTTTATCCATACTTGGTGTCTGCTCAGCATTGCTCAGCAGTTACAGAAATGCTTATGGAGTACTTCCTGTGGCCAGCATTTTGGATACTTTGATTTGTTTGTTTCTGGCGGTCATAATGTTTGTTTTTCTCCATTTCTCTTTTGGGGAAAACGAGGCAGACAGAGGCTAAACTACTTTTTCAGATGATTAAGCCGCAGAACCATGACACCCATCCACCAAAGATGCCATTGTCATTTACTGCCATTACGTGGAAAGGTCAAGTCCATGACCTATTGTGCCACCCAAAGCTTCAGTGTCATTTATAGATTAGAGCATAACCCCTGGAAATAAAATGGCCCAGGTCTGAATATTGGAAGGAAGAGATTTCATTCTAGAAATAGGTTCCATTTAGCACAACATTTCGAATCAAAGTGCACTGGATATGCTAGGGTCTGAAGCTAAAAGGAGGTCGTATGAGAGGTGCTCATTAGATGACTGTTTCCTTTTTAAGTATAATCCTCCGATTAGCAAGCAGTACACATGTTTATAAGCTGGAAGGTTTTCAGTATCTTTATTTGAGTTGCACGATGTGGCCCAATGCAGTTTGGCCCCAGACTGCCGAGCATGTGTGTCTGGTGCCAAGACACCACTGAGCTCCGCCTGAGATACCAAGCATTCCAGGCCTGTTACCTTGTAAGTGTAATATTTAACAGATTTTTTTTTTCTTCTCTGAGACGGTGAGAAGAGCTGAATAGGATAGAGGCTGGTTGGACTGCTGGCTCTGGGTTCCCTGATGAGAGGGAGGTTTGAGTGGGGGAATTACCTGGAAAGGTAAACAAAGATTTGCCACAAACAATCCCTTTGCTGATAATTCAGCACCTAGAAGGAGATAACAGAGGATGTGGGGTGCTCTCCATGTGTGGATACAGTGCTCAGTATCTGGCTTTGATGATTCTATTTTTTACTCGCCGTCTATAGGGCAGACTGCTGAATCCTCCTTGGTATATGGAAAATATGCAGCCGAGTCATGTGTGTGACCCACTGTTAACCCTGTGCTGTTCTAAGGCCCCCAGTTATATGTTAGCACAGCTGGTATAGGCCAGCCATGCTAATACCTAACACATCAAGCTTAGCCAAATGGGTCATTGTTTACCTTTCTTGGACCTTCCCAACAGCCCTAGGAGTTAGGTGTTATTAAAGTCTTACGTTCCTGGAAACTGAGTAAAAAGTCAAGCTGTTTGCTAAGGGTCACACCACTATGTGGGAGAGCTGCCTTAGATCTCCTTCCCTTAACATACAACATCTTCATTAGCATCCGTGACAAGCTCCTAGGCAAGGCCCTGGAAGTCTGGGCCAGCCTGGCCCTCTGTGACAAAAGGAGGGCCAGTGTTCTAGCTGCAAGATGGCTCAGTGGGTAAAGGTAAAGGCAGCTGCTTCAAAGCCTGCCCACCCGAGTTCCATCTCAGGCTCCACACGGGGGATGGAGAGTGACAAACATGCCTGTATGTTGTCCTCCAACCTACACATACACTGCGTGGTACACATGAGCACGTACACACACACACACACACACACACACACACACACACACACACACACTGTGCGTGCACACACAATAATTCTCACTTTATTTTAAAGGGGTTGTGGAACTGAGGCAGAGTTTTAAAAGTTTGTGTTGACCACTGTGTCTATAAGAGCTGCCAAATGAGATCTTTTAGGTAGGTGTGTGTGTATGTGTGTGTGTGTGTCTATGTGTGTATACATGCATGTGCATGAATGCGCGTGTGCAGACACACATTGTGCATGGGGCAGTCAGGATGAGGGCAGGGGGGAACAATTTTCAAATTGAAGAATTCACAAAGTGACAGAGAAGAACACATGCCTTGTCCCTTGTCCCCTGCTAACTCCTATACCTTTACATGATGAGTTGAGGCTAAGGAGACCCTCCCCCAGAGAAGAACACATGCCTTGACCCTTGTGTCCTGCTAACTCCTATCCCTTTACCTGATGGCTCAAGGTTAAAGAGACCCCGCAGTTTGGGTTGCCACAATTATCTTTAATTCATCCACAAAATAAACCCCGAATTCCCTTTGAAGTGCTTTTGTGAAAATGCAGCCTTAGTATTGGACAGGACCCTGTGAGCTCCTCCACATCCTGCAGGGCCAGGGCTGTCTTCCAAGGAGGGTGGAAATATAAACACAAGGACCTCCCTCCCCAGGGCCCCTTGCAGGAGCCTTTATTCAGCTACTGGTCCTGTTGCCTTGGAAGATTCTACTTTGGTTGAATTTCACCCCAAAAGCAATATTTTTAGCAAGAGGTGGAAAATTCTAGAAGCAAAGGTGTGAAATGAGGCTTTTTGGTGAGTGTTGTCTATGGAAGAGCAGTCATCCCTAGCTTGGATGAGATGTACTCCAAGACACACATTTAGGCTCAGCAGGGCTGTGTTCACAAAGGTACTTGATGGCTGATGGCTCACCACTGACTTGGTGACTGTTTCTAAGCAACAGCTTGTGCTTCTTTAGTAAAGTGGGGAGTCGTGTGTGTGTGTGTGTGTGTGTGTGTGTGTGTGTGTGTGTGCGTGCGTGCGTGCGTGCGTGCGTGCGTGCGTGCGTGTGTGTGTGTGTGTGTGTGTGTGTGTGTACAATCAGGTTTTTCTCTGCTGCCTCGCAGTACCACTGTATCTCATGAGCAATGGGAAATGGAGACCAAACCCAAAGGATGAATTTACATAATTGCAAATGTCCAGCTAGAAGAGAGGCAAAGTGGCTAACTAGAAATAAACTAGCTACCTTTTGGGTAGAGAAGTGTGCTTTGGGAAGATGAGTTCTTGAAACCATCACTCCCTGTTCCTAGCCCAAGGCTAGGGTCATCCTCAGGAGCCATATGTGTGCACTACTCTTCTGAGAGAGTTCCTTTGCAAACCCTAGGAGTATATGACACAGGGCATACTACTCATCTCAACTTTAGAAAACACATGTCTGTGAGATTGAGGAGTTTGTTACCCAACCCAACTCTACTGCACAAATGGGCCCTGGTTCTGAAATCTGACAGTCAGCATGCACAAGGACAGGTGTTTTCAAGGGACTCTGTGAATGCCTAAGAGGAGAGACAGCAAAGCACGGGTCTCTCAAATTTCCTCTCCCATTGCAAGTAGCAATCTGCATCAAGAAACAAAGACTCTCAGAATTGCGCGCATGTGCACGCACGCGTGTGTGTGTATGTGTGTATGTGTGTATATGTGTGTGTGTGTGTGTGTGTGTGTGTGTGTGTGACAGGCAATGTCCTGAGGCCTCTTTTGGCACTGGGCATCCTGGTGAGAATTCCCAAGGACTGGCACTCCTTGTAGAACTTTTATCTACTCATCAATTGTGGATGTGTAGGATGTTTTTGTTTCTTTCTTTTTACATTTTTAATGAAAGGATTTAGCCACAACTACTGTGTAGGGGACTCACAAGATGTGGGGTACAAGTCATGAGTCAGAAGTTTCAGTAGAACCAGCGGCGACTTCTGAAGAACTTTCCATGGA